CTCCTAGTACATTCTCAAAAACGCGATTTGTATATGAATATACCATGACTCTTTATTTAAAATATAAATCTCCTTTCATTAAATATCGGATGTGACAGCGTTATATATATTATTGTAATTATTGTAATAATTTTCATCATTAATGACTTCATACTAAGCATAAGTTTGCCATTAATTATAATAGTATAAAAATTGATTTAGATCTAGATTTATTTTTCAATTAAATAATTTTTTGTAAGCCTTAAGTGTAGTATTTTTAGATCTATGTTTTAAAAAATAAACAAAAAGAAACTTACTTTTTCTTTTCATAAAGCAAATAGTAGAGCTTTATAGTCATATTGAGCTGTAAATAAATTGGGTGGATTGCAATTTCGAGGCTGTGTGTATGTGTTAAAGTTAATTTCTATTAAGTATTGTTAAAGAGCTAATTGTCGCGCTTATCTTTTTATTATTATTATTTTTTTTGCTGCCTTATATCAATGTTTTCTAACTTAACCTCTCTCATCCCTCTTTTTGGTTTAAGTTCATTGGAACCATTAAAAGACGGGGAAGGGAAGGAGCAAAAAAGAAACAAACAAATGGGAGTGCCATCAAAGGCCCATGCCGACCAGCAAAATGATTAGGCCAAACACAACCTCAAAGACATCAAAGCAGTGCATGCCGCTCGTGCTTAGCGGAAAGTACGATCTAACGTTTTGCAAATGATAATTCGTACAGTGTATTGTGTATTTTTTGTGTGGATATTCTTGTTGAGTTTGAAACAAATTTAATTGTAATAAGAATTAAAAAAACAAACAAGAAAACGTTTTCGGGCCTTTGTGTCTTGCTGAGGTCATTATTTTTTATTTCAAGTTGTCTGCATTGAATTTTTTTTTCTTTGGCCGCTACCAGACCGGCCCATTTGGTACCGCCCACCGGGCTTTTGCCCGTTTGCCCATATAGCCAGTCCGCCCCTGCATACCGGAAAGGATAAGAGACCAAGTAGACATATAATATTTACATAAACGAACTTATTAACAACAAATAAATAAAGTCTATTTAGCTCGTTATTGAAAAATACATTCCAATAAAGTGGCACACTCCTCTTGAGTAACAGTCAGAGCATAACATATAAACATTATGGAGCATTTAGTTAAAAATAGTTTACACAGGTTAGCTCAAAGGCTTAAGAGGAAGTGGCAATTGTATACAGTTAACAGGGACTTAAATAATGTATTAAGGGTTAGGGTATTAAGAGGGACTAACTCATTGAAAAAAAAAGTAGCCAGCCTAATTGTCCCTCTTGTCACAGCAGGTAAGTCTGGAGAAGGTACAGGATGTCTTGCAGGCTTCTCTGGGCAGGTAAGCCTGGAGAAGCAGCTGAGGTAGAAGGTACAGGATGTCTTGCAGGCTTCTCCTATCTTCATCAAATACTGCTGCAGGTTAGTCTGAAAGGAGTTTGCGTTCTCGACGTAAAACCACTTAAGTCGAAACAAGACTTTATATAGTTTACTAGCCGACCTACGGCGTAGCATACGCTGCTATTTTGCAGGACCAGCCTTAGACCACTGCTATCTATGCGACCGCAGTGGGTCCTGCACTTTCATAGGACCCGAGCTAATTCTAGGTGTAAATTATTAAATTAAACCATTTTATAACTTATCACAGATTTCCCGTGGAACTCCTGTAAATCTCCTGAAATTGCAAAATATACGAAAAGGTCTTGGAAATCTCCGGAAAGTATAATAATCTTTTGAAAACTCATACAAATCTTCTAAAATATATAGGGAAAAAATGTCATTTTGGGGTGTCATATAATATGGAAAACGCCAATCCTACGTGCGATTAAAAAAAAACGTAAATCGCGCCTCAAACTAATAAGAATTACTTAAGTTCAACAATTCTCGTAGATAGATTGAAACAGGGCCGGTCCTACAGTTTGCGGGGCCCTATGCGAAACTGATAGTGCGGGTCCTAATTTGGGTTGTGATAAGGCTAATAAGTGAAAATTAAGATTTTGTATTAGAAAATAAATTTGTCTTTGCATTTTATTCATACAAAGTACAAAATATCTGTCAAATTAACTTTACGAGCCATCTACAGTAGATAGTAGTTATCCAACATAAACATTCAGATCTGCCTTTTAGATTTACTATCGACTCGCAAAATATCGCTTTTTTTTTTTTTTAAAAAAGAGGTCGAGATAGATTTAGATCTATATTTGTATGCCAGTGATTATTGAAGTAAATTAAGTATTTGAACTTCTTGTTTTGGTTAAAATTCGGCTTATCATTAAATTTTTATTACATGACAGCTAACAATGCCTTTTTTTTAAATCGCGAGTAGGATTGGCGTTTTCCATATTGAATGACATCTGAAATGACAATTTTGTCAGTTTTAAAATTTCCATGAGTTTTCAGAAGATTTTAATAATTTCAGGAGATTTTCATGCCTTTTTCTTTTCTTTTTTTTTTTTAATAATTTCAGGCGAATTCCAGGAACCCTTTAATAATATGTTAAAATGGTTTAATTTAATAATTTACAACTAGAATTCGCATCGCGCGGGGCTTATGAAAGTGCGGGGCCCACTGCGGCCGCATAAGTTGCAGTGGCCTAAGACCGGCCCTGGATTGAAACATTTGGTAATTCTTGCTATTGAGAGGGATCTATGTAGGAAATAGAAGTTCTATGATATACTGTATGACTTCGCTACACGCAAGGCTCGTAAAGTAATTCTGTAAAGACAAATTTATTTTCTAATACAAACTCTTAATTTTTACTTATTAACCGTATCCCTACCCAAACTTGGCCCTGCGAAATCCATTTCGCAATAGGGCCCCACAATGGTTAATTCCGGCCCTGCTATATAGTGACGGGTGATTACAGAGTAGATTACTCCCCCCCCCCCCCCCTCTTTTTTTCGCCGCTAAAGTAACGTGGGATAACTGTGGTCCGATTAGCCGAAATAAAAGAGTGATCTTTCCATGACTTCTTTGTCACAATGGTTAAGACCGGCCCTGCTATTTAGTGACGGGTGAATACTACTTGTTCTCCCCTCCCTCTCTTTTTTTTTTCGCCGCTAAAGTTACGTCAGGTAACTAATCAGACTGTTGAGCCATGAAGAGAATTATATATATAGAGAGAGAGATGGGAGATGTGTCGTAACCATGAAACATCGTTACTCTGGACAGGCGTAACCCGAAGGCTTCCTATACACAATAATAAACAAAACAGAACTAGACGAAATCTGCATCTCTATTAGACAGTCCTAAATTCTCATTGAAATGCTGCACTCCTCGTTAATCTTTGGACTCGAAGACAAGCCTTATTATTATTATTATGGTTACCCTGGAAAGATAAATAACATTTTTTTCCTCTTTTCCAGCTGATCATGACACACAGAGAGGAAGTATTACTAGAGCCTAATGATTAAAGACGATGTGATCTTACACAGCCTGTAACTTCCTTTCTCCAGTGACAAGGTAATGGACTTTGTTTTACCTACAACACAGATGAACAACTATTGTCGTGTTTAGTTGGTGCTCTCTTAATATACATCTACTCAATAACTGGAATAGAAGCACAAGATATTCAATTTATGTAAAGGATGACCTTTTTTTTTTTTTTTGGTGTTTAAATTATCTGATCTTTTACTGGGACTGCTACTGAAACTATACATCCTACTAGGACTAACACTCGTTACAAGTTATGTAAGTATTGAGTAAAGTTTTAGAACTACACTGTAAAGTCGGGATTGACATTCTACTGTATCTTCCTTGTGTAGAACTCTTTGAAAAAAAAAAAAAAGCTTATATAAAGGAAAGAACCGCAAAAAAATAACTATCATAGCTCGCAATACTGCAAAATTTATCTCCCTATATATATATATAATATATATATATATATAACAAAGTTAATTAATTATTGGTTAATTTTTTTTATTGTTTCGTGTATTATCATAGATAAACTTTGAATAATTTTGAAATATTTAAACTTGATCCGAGAATGGGCAGTAAGAGAAAAAAAACGTAGACAATGTATACCAGACAGACTGATGGATGGAGTTAATTTAAGCTTTGTGAAGTGTACGAGCACTACATTTAGCTCAAACGTAAAAGTAGTGGAGACTGCTGCCAACTTTTTGCTTTTACCATACTTAACTCGACATGCGTATTATCCGTCTCACCGCATTTAATACAACCTTTTGACTATGACTTAAAAAGTATTTCAAAATGTGCGCTGTAGAAGCCATGAGGATTTTCTGGTCAGTATGCAGGAAAATGTTTTGTCGCGGGGCTTCAAGACTAGACGGACTCGCTTTAATGAGCTATTCGTTACGTACATTCGGAATCCAAACATATTCTAAAGAAAAACTGGAAAATTGTGTTAAAATTGTTTGTTTCTTTTTCATTATAACTTTAAAACCATTTCTGACCCCAATTACTCGCAGCGCTCCACCAGGCCCCAGCTGGCTAAGGAGGGCGCGAACGTTGTTTTTTTTCGTTTGGGGGGGGGGGGGGGGGAGGGGGAGTACTATAAAAGTTTGAGAAACACTATACTCCAATGTTTATATCCTCTGAAATAATTACTTCAAAGGTACTGTACTCTAGAAGACAATAACGCTGGAGTTAAAAAGTGTATTCATTCTTTAACAGTCTGCTGGGAGTAGGGCGACACGACATACTCTCTATGCCATGTCACACTCATAGACCTAAATATATATAGTATTATGTAAGTCTGTGATCACACTCTCTTCAATTTGAAACAAAAAAACATCTATGCTTAACGAAAAAAAACAACAACTCAAAACAATGGTCATAAATATATTTTGAAAATACTTTACTTTTTAAACCAATCTTGTGAAACACGGTTGGTGGATATAGTAGGCCTTATAATAATAACAATCGTTAATATACTTGAGGAATTTTATTTTTTTTTACACTTGTGCATTACCTAAAAAAAAATGCATTATAAGCACACAAAATATACGCTCATACCACAGTTTCACTTTACTTGTGAAGTTTACATCAGTGTTGGATTGGATTCACTGCTAACATAACAAAGAGTTCTTGTATCTGTGTCACGCATAGTTTAAACAGGCACACACTTTTGCCAAATATAAGTGGTGACTAAGATTTAGGTCATAACACTTACAATTCAATAATAGCGCGTTTCAAGTAGACTAGCGGATACACCTGCCAGTACAAAGTGAACCATAAACTTTTTATACAAATTAGAACATACGTCTTTTTTTGAAATAAAACAAAATATTCCCAAGTTGGGAAGTAATTTAAATGTAATCAGAAATGAGAAACATTTGCGTTGGATTTAATGGAAGAACAAAATGGAAGAGACGAGAAAGTAGCGAGTAGCGAGTAGCTTGTGTTCCATTGTAGTAGTAGTAGTAGATAGGGCCCCTCAGGATTAAACAGAATTCTGAAAACTGTCTTGTTTCTTGAATCTCTTCACATCTAAAAGCCGAGCTATGACAGTTTCTTGAGGGTAGAAAACGTTCTTTTCAAAGTTGTAGATCTAACTCCTTGCTCAGTGCCTTTTTGTCCAATCTCTCTTGTAAACATGCTGATTTAAGTTGCTTAGCAAGTACAACTCATCTGAGTCAAATCTCAAATCTATAAATAACAAGGTTACAAAGACTGTGTGGACACACAAAATTAAAATCGGTGGTCCACCCAGGCAGGTAAAAAGGCAGGTTTCAATATTATCAGAATGAAATTCTATCAGACAAATGACAGAAAAAAATGGAGAAAAAAAGGTTAACAGATCTCGTGTGGTGCCCCAGCGGTCCAGCAGACCAACGGAGAGGTGAAAGTGAATGTGAAGTTAGATGTGAACCTGGCCTAACTGATGTCTTATAATGAATATCTTATTGATCTAATAGTTTTTTAAAGGGCCAATTTCTTATTCCTCAAGAATAAAACATTTCAGTACAAAAAAAATTAAAATAATTTAAAGATTTTTTGTTTTCTTTGGATAAATTATGTTGCTATGTGGTCCAGCTAGCAGTTCACGAGATAATATGAAAAACTACTTATTAATTGTTGTTTAAAACTATGTCAGACTCATATGCATACTAATTAGATTTTTTTTCTCTTTAAAAAAATAATAAACATTTGTTTGTGTATAAATATAGTACTTAGTATAACAGAACTTACATAACTTAACAATACAAATATATATATAAAAAATTTTGACAAAAAATCTACAACCGTTTGCATAAATGTGTTCAAACTATGGTAAATAGTGGTCTCCCCTAATAAAGAGAGTCCGTGTCTGTTACTATTAATAGTGAATAGTTGTAAAAGCGGTAAATTTTTATGCAAAAACTGCTTGCATAAGTGATTTTAAAAAATTAGATTTTTAGCTTTCAGAAAAGAAAAAAGTAGCTGTTGCATTGCTGAATAGTCTAAAATATTATGATGTCGGATTTTCACTATCTTTTGTACTGTACGAGATCTAAACAGGACGGACAGACAGGCCACACAAAACTAATAGCGTCTTTTTCCCTTTTGAGGGCCGCTAAAAATAAAAACACCTGGACTCCACTGGGATTGAAACATAAACCTCCCCCCCCCCTTTCCAAGTGAATTAGCCAAGCACTTTATTTCAGTCAGCCACATGCAGTTGTAAGACATTTTTTTCCACCAATAAGTCAGTCCAACTCATGCAGTGATGCACACAAACTCTGTCAATCAGATCATGACTTCAACAATTGACCAATGAAATGTGTGTGCAAAAAAAAGGAAGCCTTTTATAAGCTATCACGGCTTGACCAACGCATAATTTTTTGACTCAGAGCCAGACACAACAGAATGAGACAACATATGTTTTCGAAGTTTTAAGTCTGGACTAGTGAAACTTGCCCTTGTGAAGCATCACCAGAGAATGCTGACCCTGCCCTTCAAAGCTGAATACTTTATCAAGAGGCCTGAACAAGACTCTGGCCTCAAAACCCTCCTATAGAAGAAACAACTATACAAAGAAATGCCTGATCTGGAAATGCAGTTCATCTCAGATCTAGGATTACTGATCTGAACACTATGACATGAAAAATGAGAACGATGAAGAAGAAGAAGAAAAAAATGTCCAAAGTGTATAAACCCAATACCTCGGAATAAATATAATTTTATGTCTAAAAGCAAATTTTATTTTAAAGCTTATTTCTAAGCTCATATCAACTCTGTCTGTCTGTTTGGTAAAAAGTTAATAAGAGTTATTTTTCCCTCACCCATTCTCAGATCAAGTTTCAAACAATTATTTATTGTACCTAACAAAACATAGATCAATTAAAAAATTTACCAATTAGTTAATTAATTATTGGCATTAATTATTTTGTTTGTTATTGAATAAGGGAAATAAATGCTGAGATATATCATTGTAAATGCAGAGTTTTTTCCTTTAGATAAACTGTTTTAATAAAACATACTTTTTATATTTTGCTTGTGTTTAAAAAGTGAATTAAAAAAAAATAAAATAGGTACTGAGTTGGTAACCTAGTATTGAACTTGTTTACACAAACATCAGCACCTGGAATGTTATATTATACACTATTAGTCATAAAAATAAAAAAAAAAACATCCCAGGGCCCTTGAGAAGGCCATAAACTATTTGATATGAGATCCTTACAAGTCCAGATATTATTTGTCAGTGCTAAATATTTCTTGAGGGTCCTAAAATATAGATCTAGCTTGTGCTGCCCATTTGGTAAATCCTGCACTGCCAGAAGATTATGTAAATATTATAAAAAAGGAGCAACCAAGCAGAAGTGGTGTTCAGTTACATTGTGAAATTCTTGAGAAAAGTTTGGTTTACAAAATATATTTCAATATTCTGATACAAGTTAATGTGATTATTCTAGTTGAATTTATTAATTATAGTATTTTGGAATTTTATATTCTTCCATTTCTTCTGGGCTTTATTTTAAAGAAGATATTGCAACTGAAGGAAAACACTAAACACTTGACAGTAATAAATAATAATTAAAAAAAAGAAGAAGAAAGAAAGAAAGAAAACATCCAGCATCACATTTTGTACACAAAGTAAAGAGAAAAAAAATTTGAAAATGGTTAATTAATATCTTACATGACAGATTATTCTATCAATGTCTTAGGCTTTTGTAGTTAAATAATATGCTCACTATAACTTTATTATTGAGAGATAAAAAAGAATCAAGAATAAAGATAGCATGAGTAAGCTAATTTGTTTTCTATCTGTGATGGTGACCAAAAAAAGTTAAAGTAAATAAAAGTTTTTGTCTGGTTAAAGGTTTCCAGCCCAAGGCTTAAAGTCTGTGACCCCATGTAGTACACATTTTACTGAGTGCTTGGGGCTGTTGGTACATCAGACAGTTTTATATAAGACTTGGATTAGGTTGGGACCACTGGTGTAGACAAAAATAAGATCCAACTTTTAAATTAACCACATTTATAAAGAAATCTAGATCTTAGTGGACATTTTTCTTCAAAAAAGTAACAGGAGAGAATGCATGGTATGTAAGGCTCAAAATATTTTTTTTTCTTGTTACCAGGACCAACAATCTTTTACTCATGAAATGACAAAGATTTGGCACTGTCAATGCACAAAATGCAGTAGACTTTAACTTATGTGCCCAAGTCTGGAAGCCACTATCCATTCTGTTCAGCATATTTTGTGGATACAACTAGTCAGATGAATCAGTCATCATGCTGGCCACCAACCTCTGGCATGAGCATTCTTTATCATCTCTTTCTCAGAGGGACTAAACTGCAAGATGGTCATTACTGCCTTCAGCATTTGCTTCTTGCCTTCAGAGTCTGTGGATGTTAAAAACTTCACCATGACATTCTTCAGATACTCAACATTGGCACTTTCTCTGTGTGTGTGGCGATCCACCTCCGCTAGTCTCTCCTGCAAGGCACTGATCTCATCCCTTAGCTTCTCTTCTTTTTGACTCATTGAGAGCTGGAGATCTCGAATAGCCGACTCCAGCTGCCTCTTCTGTTTCCTGAGGCCGTTAAGTTCTACCTCCATTCTACCCTTCTCTTGAGCAAAGTGTAGGAACATGGCCTCATTCTGAAGACTTTTAGGAAGGTCAAGCAGCTGTGCTACAGCTTCATGCTCTTCAGAATGTTTTGTTTTAGAATCCTTGGCAGGCAAAGTACCTTCGAAAAATTGTTGCCCTGAGCTCCAGTGTCTCAGCATATCACTGTCCAAACCTTGACCAGTCAAGGACTTCAGCTTTTGAATCTCTGAGTCCTTTTCAGCTAGCATGGCTATGGTTCTCTCTCTCTGTTTCTTGGACTCTGTCTCCAGCTGAACCACTTCTTTTTGGTGGCTGGCCTTGACCTGAGCCAAGTCAGCCTTAAATTTTTCCTCATGGCTCAGAAGAACTTTGCTGAGGTTGTCAATCTTATTCTGGTACTCTGCTATCTCTTCCTGGTGGTGGAAGTTGTTCATCCGAAGCTTGTCTCTAAGCTCAGCCACCTGCTCTTTTAACAGTTCACACTCTTTGGATGGTCCAGTTTCCTAAAGGATGAAATTTTAAAATATATATTATATAGTATAGTTTAAATAACAATTCTTGCAATATGCAAGAGGTAAACCCAGTATTTTATGACAGTTTGACTGAAAATGAATAAGTGGTTAAGCACTGCATTGTCAAACTGAGAGTCTCAAGTTCAAATCCTGGCCAAGATTAACAAATTTTATTTGCGATTCAGAAGGTTCCACATTATTACAGGTTTTAATGTGGGGAAATTTATAGACTTTTCTCTATGCTGACCACATGACACTCTTTTTAACTTAACCCCTTTACAGACTTAACTGTTTTACAGACTTCTTTGACTCTGTGTATCCATATGATAAAATCTTGAGAGGTACAGCCCCTTCCATTATGATGACACAAATTACATATTTCTTTGGCCACATGGAGGCACGGTAGCTGAGCGGAAAAACTCTTGGCTTCCGAACTGGGGGGGTCCGGGTTTAAAATCTGGTGAAGACTGGGATTTTTAATTTTGGTACATCTGAGTCCACCCAGCTCTAATGGGTACCTGACATTAGTTGTGGAAAAGTAAAGGTGGTTCATCGGTGTGCTGGCCACATGACACCCTCGTTAACAAAAACAGATGACCTTTACATCATCTGCCCCAAAGATAGCATGGTCTAAAAGGGGAACTTTACTTTACTTTGGCCACATTAAACAGTCTAACAGGCATAAGTTTAAGGTCAATGTAGTACATCTTCAAGGTCAGCAACACACAAAC